GAGAACCGAGCAATAGGGAACTACCAGCATAGTGTATTCCAGTAATTCTGAAAGAGCATCCTAACCAAAAACATCTCAGCGCCCCAAAGTCAGTTCAATTTACCAACCCTTCACCATGTGTAGGTGTCTGGGAGACAGATAGAAATGAATAGAAGACACCTTCCACACCCTCACAGCTCTCACAGACACATAGAGGTGATGAGACGTGTCAAGGAACAGCCACACCATGGGGCAGGATGTGCTAGGTTCATGCAGAGGATCGGATCCAAGGCAGGAGAAACCATGCGACTCTGAAGAAAGATGATGCTCAAGCTAGGCCTCAAAGGCTCAGCAGGCTTTTGATGTGTGGAGATGGGAGGGAAGGGCCTTCTAAGCAAAGATGTAAGAGAGGTGACTGCAGGGCAGGGAGAGGAAACAGAAGGCAGCTGTAAGGAGTGGGGCATGTGGGGAGATGCTATGAGAAGGGAGCTTTCTTGGAAGCAAAGCTTTAGGGTAACCTACTTGACTAAATGCTGGCAACCTGGACAAATGCCGGAGTCTCTCTCACATGAAGCCCAGGGTCACATGAATCCTCGCAAAAGGAACAGTTTCCCAGTGAAGGTTAAGGGCAGGACATATGGGTCACAGCCCTGACCCTGCAGTCACCTGCACTGTGTCCTCCTGGAGCCTGGCTCTTATCTGTGAAACCAGGGGGTTGGCCTTGATGCCCTCCTCAGGCCCTGCCACCACTGCATTCTGTCACTGTTCCAACAGCCCAGCCTCCCTCTTCCAAAGAAAGACTTCTTTTTCTAGCTCTAACCAAGTGTCACGGAGGTATACTTAAATTTCGATATTGCAGATTATTCTCCAAAATTTCGCCCAAACACACACAAGTGGTCCTGTTTTCTGTCTCTAAGGAGGACACAGAAAATCTGAGAGTTAACATTAGAAAATGTGTAATCTACTCAGCTGAGGTGGGCTCCTCTGAGACTGCTGAAATGGAGCACTATGCCCCCCAAACTGGGACCTGGGGCCTTGCAGTCGGGGGGTCTACTTCTCCTACTCCCTGTTGATCAGCCCTCTCTCTGCTTTCCAACAGGAACTTTGCCCAACATCACAAGGAATGCCATTGTCAACTGTGCTGAGATGGTGACCTACGATATCATCAAGGAGAAGCTGCTAGACCATCACCTGCTCACCGGTGAGGCCCGGCGCTCCAGGCAGACAGCCCTCCCACAGCAGAGAGGGAACCTGGAACTCCACATAGTGGGCACCACCCAGAGGCAACCAGGCTTTAGAACAAGCAAAGAGAGGAGCAGCACCCAGTAAATCATTGTGACAAGTAGGAAAAAACCCTAGACGGGGGAGCCAGGGACCTGAGTTTCAGCCCAGCACCATTTCTTGCCATGTATTTTTAAGCAAGGGTCACCTTCTTGACTTCAGTTTCCTCAGACAAGGTGGCTAGGCCGATGACCTTCCAACTGAGAAGGCTCAGTTCTATCTTGCTAGTACTTATCAAGAGCTCCACCCAGGGCACAGTGAGAGAGATGGAAAATACTACCCTCATGCTCAAAGAGTTCACAGTTTAATTGGGGACAAATGATAAACACACATGGAACAGAAAACAAGTGTACTCCCCATCTCACAGCCTGATATTTGCTCTCCCCTTCCCTGCTACAGACAACTTCCCCTGCCACTTTGTCTCTGCCTTTGGAGCTGGCTTCTGTGCCACGGTTGTGGCCTCCCCAGTGGATGTGGTGAAGACCCGGTATATGAACTCGCCCCCAGGCCAGTACCGCAGCCCCCTGGACTGTATGCTCAAGATGGTGGCCCAGGAGGGGTCCACAGCCTTCTATAAAGGGTGAGCCTCCCTCTCCTGCTTCCACACTTCCTCCTAGAAAACTTGGGCTTCTCTCTGTCCCTTCCTTCCTTCCTTCCTTCCTTCCTTCCTACCTTCCTTCTCTCCTTCCTTCCTTCCTTCCTACCTTCGTTCCTTCCTTCCTTCTTCTCTTCCTTCTATGTATAATGTGCCTACCAAGGGTCCATCTGGGGATGCAGTGGTAAATAAAACAGATGTAATTGCCACAAAGGAGAGGATAAAGAACTATGGAAGTTAAAAAATGGAAAAGAGCAAACTAAATCTAATTTGGAAAGTCAGGGGAGCCTTATCTAAGAAAAAGGAGTCTAAGCGTTGGTCAAAGTGTTGTCCCCAAACTTACTGGACCAGGAAGAAAGAGGGAAAAGTGGTTGGTAATCATGAGACTTTTCCCTAGCCCACTGCCACAACCAGGGGTCACCACCAATGGCAGCTGAAGTGCCCAATGTGCATCACATTTCCTTGCTTCTGTGTCTTGGCATTTACCATTCCCTCTTCATGGAACGCCTTTCCCGTACCATTTACATGCCCTAAATCTTGGCCATCCTTCAAAACTAGTGCAAATGCCACCTCTTCTCCTCAAAACCCTCAAGTATCCCTGTGAGCTTCAGCAATACTTCCTTGATACCATTTGTGTGGTATTTACTACCTTCTACTTTGTGTTATAAATATTTGTAAGTTTAAATTATCTGCTATGCTGGAGTGCAAGCTCCTCAAAGCCAAGGAGAACGGCTCAGATCTATCTTGTCAGTACTTACCAGGAGCTCCACCCAGGGTACGGTGAGATAATAAATACTACCCTTATGCTCAAGGAGCTCACAGTTTAATTGGGGACAAATGATAAACACACATGTTTCATCTCCCAGAATCCCTAGCACTCAATACATAGTTTATTAACAATCATGATCACTAAGTCACTATTAGGCCTTGTGCTAAGTACTTTACATATATTATCTTAACAACCTCCTGAACTGTACAGTGTTCTCCACATTTACTGAGGAAGAGACTCATAAGCATCAAGTAACTTGTCCCAAGTTCACGAAGTTAAAAGGGCAGAGCCACAGCTCGAACCCAGATTATCACACGCAACCCAACAACGTGTTGTTCATCCTACTGCTAAGCTCTTTGCCTGGCCCTCTCACCTCTCACCACTGATGACAGTTTTCTGGCTCCCGTGTCAGACTGGACCCAGCAAGCAAACAGGTTCTCAACCCTGGGAATGACATCATAAAACTGTGTTTCCACTGGCAGACTATTCTTTTCATAAGAGCCTCTATTATTATGATCTTCAGCTATAGCCAATTGTCTGAGTTTATTCTTTCACTTGGCAAACATTTACTGAGCTTCTCATGGGTGTTAGGCCCTGTGCTATGCTTCTCTCAAGGAACAGCTCTAAGTGGGTGACATCTATTGAGCATTTACTGATACCAGGCTCTGTGCTGTATACTGTACATTAACTCATTTAATCCTCATGACAACTCTATGAGGTAAATACTGTTGTTTTTCTCTTTTTACAGGTAAAGAAACAGACTCAGAGAGATTAAGTAACTTATCCAAGGGCATGAAACTAGAAACTGGTAGAGCTAGGATTTAAACCAAGGTCCAACTCAAGTTCACATTCATTGCCCCAGTGCTATCTATACTCCCTGTGATGAACCTAGGCTGAGGGTTCAGAAGGGGCCTTGGTGTGAGGTTATGGTGCCCAAGCTGGTTCCTACAGAGCCAAAAGCAACCAGCCAGGTGAGGAGAGCTGGTGACAATCTAAGCAGAAGGAGCAACATGGGCAAAGGTATGGAAGTAGGGGTCTGGCAGGAGCAGAGAGGACCAGGAGGGGATTAGCAGAGACTGGCTGAAGAGAAGGGCAGGGGCTAGATTGCAGGCTCCTCCCTCAGTCTGTGAAGCACAGCTGATGCGGGGACTCTCTCCTGGCTGCACTATCACAGGACAGGCAGGCTCTCTGGAGATTAAATAAAATTGGTGTTACACTGTCTCCGCCCTGCGGTGCCTGGCAGGCGCCACCTCAGAGGTGACTGCTCAGGACATAAATGAGCCCACAAACACCCAGCAGCAGAATGGCGTCAGGAGGTTTTAGTAAAGCTGCTTAATCACCCTGGGTCTCAGTTTCTGAAAAAGACAACTGGAAGCAACCATAGCTACCTTATAAACAGTGGGAATAACTGCCTGATATAATAACCTGGCTCAAAATGTTAGTTTTCTTTCCTTTCCTGACTCCAACTTCTGCCTAAATTCCTTCAGCAAAGAAGAAAAAGACTGAACCAATATTAGAAAATGCTCATGACTGACAGAAGTCTGGGCCCGTTCGCACTAACACTGTGATGGAGAGAGCACAGTAGATCTCTTCAGGAACTTAGTCCACCGCGTTTGATGTTTTGGTTGTTTTCTCATCAGCTTTACACCTTCCTTTTTGCGGTTGGGAGCCTGGAATGTGATGATGTTCATAACCTACGAACAGCTGAAACGAGCCTTGATGAAAGTCCAGATGCTACGGGAATCTCCGTTTTGAATAGGACAGGCCACTTGAGACTTAACTGGAACAAAACCAGTTAAGAATGGAATAAATTAGTGAGTCTATGCATACAGGAACACAGACCCACACATGTTTACAGAACTGTTTACTTGCTGCTGACTCAAGAAACAGAAGTAGAAGAGGAGGAAAGATTCTGGTCTTCAGTGCGTTGTCTTGAGAACACTTTTGTTTTGCACTGACAAGATGGAAAAGAAATTATATTAATTTTTGAAACCCATTAGGTTGGATGCCTAACATTTAGGCAAGACAAAATAAAACAGAGCCATTTGGATAAAATGGAAGTTTGCAAACTATGTCCCCTGAAAAATCTGATTAGACGATGAATTATGAACAGGAAAGACTGCGAGCATGAGACAGGAGTGGCTCATAACTTGGAAATCAGCTAAGGAGTCTAGAGGGACACAGTCAAAGCAACACAGAGCTGTGGCTACTGCCTTTGATTAACTATGGATCATCGGCCATATGTGTAATAAGTCTGCTGTGTAGAATCCATTTGGATTCTAGAAAATTTGAGGGGGAGCACTGCTGGGCCAGTGTGAGGTTGACTCATAAATAGTCCCTCATGACACTGAGAATCCAGAGGACAGCCTCAGTCTCCTTTCCTGTAAAATGGGAGTAATAATCCCAACGCGGCTACCTCACCAGAGGTAGCATGAGGATCAAGTGAGAAGCTGGAAGGGAAAGCGCTTTATAAAATCTCTGTACAAATGTAAATATAAGGACAAGGCCATGGGAAAGATTTTTGTCTGGACAGTGAGGAATTGCCAGGGAAGAAGTTTTTCAAAGATAGTTGTCTAGAGGTGCGACCAAAGGAATCAGGAGCTCCAGGACCAGGAATGACAGAGGATGACGTGCAGCTGTGTGGGAGCCCTACTCCCATGCAGCCCTCTCCTCCTGGCTGGACTGCGAGGCACCTTGAACAGTGCGGGGCTTTGGAAAAAAGAGGTAAATGCCAGGCTGAGAGCCTAAAGTATCAGGACTCAGAATTTTGGAAAATTATTATGACTCAATAAAGGAATTCACACCTTGGGTGTTGGAATGAGAACAGGCACTTTTCTTCCTTTTCCTTCTTGGACAGAATTTCCCTTTCTCACTTCAGGCCAGATCTGGCCCCACACGCCCACACTGCTTTGGGCTCTCTCTCCGCAGGCTGGTTGCTCTGCCTTTTAGGGCTTTAGCTCCTCTATCTGTAAAAGAGTTAAACCAGATGACCTCCTTCTAAATTTAAGACTAGACATTTTTCAGGTTGATAATGGGGACGCAGAATGCTTGTCTTTTTCTGCTTCTTAGCAGCTGTGTGGCTCTGATGACAGAACTAGGTTGAAACCTCGCCCCGCACCACCTTACTAGCAGCCCAACCACCAGGAATCCTTGCACCTCAGTTTTCTACCAGAGAAGTGGGAATAATTCCTACCTGGCAAGAATGTTCAGCACCGTCACCCCTCTTTCTCTGCTCTGACTCCTCTGTACCCTGGGAAAAAGTGAATATCTACTCACTTCTCATCTCAGCACTTTCTTAAGTTTAAATTATAATTTGAGATCATCTACATATATAAACTGGAAAGTCCAAACAAAAGCAAAAATATATATATTTAGTGTCTAGTTTGGATTTCAAATAAATTCATATTTCAAATTTTCTTACTTTTGACTTGATTGTGACTCCTCTGTACCCTGGGAAAAAGTGAATATCTACTCACTTCTCATCTCAGCACTTTCTTAAGTTTAAATTATAATTTGAGATCATCTACATATATAAACTGGAAAGTCCAAACAAAAGCAAAAATATATATATTTAGTGTCTAGTTTGGATTTCAAATAAATTCATATTTCAAATTTTCTTACTTTTGACTTGATATGTGCAATGTGTGTGTGTGTGTGTGCGTGTGTGTGTGTGTGTGTGTAGGGATGACAAGAGGAGTTGGCCAGGCAAAGATCTGAGGAAGAATGTTCCAGAAAAAGAGAACAAGCAGTCCACAGGCCATATGGGAATAAGCGTGGAGTGTTCAAAGAACAGAAAGGCGGCCTGTGTGGCTGTTGTAAAGATAATGAGGAGACAAATGTGAGATTATTCATTTATTCACTCATCAAATATGTAAGAGTTGTGCCAGAAGCTGAAAAGTCAGAGGACAGCCAATTGTTTGGAAAGCTTGGCAGGGAAAGAAAAGAGGAAAAATAACCATTGTAAAAGAAGTAGGAAAGTGCTGTGAGCTCCTTTTAATTTGCACACATACATACACACATATGAAGAAAGGAAAGATTGAAGATGAGAAAGATTGAAGAGGAGGACAAAAGATTGCAGAAGCAAGGTCCTAGAGAAAACAGAAGAGCACAGAATAAGGGGTACTGGTGGGATAGGTCACTCTAGATAGGATACAAGAAATCTAGAAATAAAAGAGTCATACAGGCAAAAATTTTGAAATGGAGAGAAGCAAAATAAAGGCATTCTCCAATCTTTTAACTGAAATTTGAGGAATGGTCACATATGAGAGTAGATCAGTGGGCCTTGACAGTTATTTATAAGAAAGATAATTTTAAAAGCTTTTTTCTTCTTAAAATATAATTAAAGAAGAAACTTGGGTCCTCTGGTGCACCCTGATGCTGTTCTCTGTTCTTTGCCATGCTGAGCTGTCTGGAGCCCTCACCATGGAGCAGCCTAGGCATTCTAAAGTATACGGTGTGAGGTCACCAGCAGGATTCCCCCAACTGTCCCAAGGGCCTCACACCAGACATGGAGTTCCACAACAGGCACAGCGATCCGTGGAACAAGCTAACTGCCAACATGTGACAGTGTCTTGGAAATTCACAGAGAAAATATGCAAAGCAGGTTGTCTTCCACATATACACAATCAGATATGACACAGAAATGTAACTTAAACATATCAAAAAAGATGAACGCAAATACTTTAAGGAACTATTACAGTCAAGATTATTTTGTTGCTGTCCCTGACCATTTATTGGATATTATGGTAAAGGGCCTGAAGATAACACCATTTTCGTATTATTCTGAGATTAGGACATTATAAACCATGAGAAAATTTATGCTTCATTGCCCAATTTTACTAAGGCTGACTGTCTAAGTCTTCTCGGCATAAAAAGATAGCAATACATTGCTATTATAAATCAATGTAGATCATCAAATTTGTTCTTTTTGAAATTTGAAGAATGGTCACATCATCTACCAATAAAGCCAGTGGAACTGCCATAGAGGCATGGTGGGTGGTATAGGCTGGTCAGATCACAAAAATGGCATAAAGATATGCATTTTTCCTGAGAAATATACTGTAGATAAGATCACTGATCCAGGTCCTCAAGACTCTATATCATTAGATTACAATGTGGTACATCGTTTATATAACAAAAAATTTATTTGACTATATCAATATCTAATGAGAGTTTTATTCTCAAGAGTTTTGTAATGAACTGAATGCAAGATAACTAGGTGATTATTCTGAAACTTTGTATTTATTTTAATTGAGTATGCTAATGATGCAGAGCTTGCAAATGTTCCCGAGATAGCCTTCTCCCTGGTTAAGAATGGTGTTTCTGTGTATTGCTGATTGGGCTTTGTCCATGAGAAAAGACAGCAATAATGTGGATCAACTTCATTCACCATGGTGGAATGTTTCATTGGTAAACATTTAAAATTACTTTTGATCCACAAAAGATACTCCTATCACAGGATGGCAAGGAAAGTATGAGTCCTGAACAAGAAACTTTGTCAGCTCCGATATTGAAAAATATAGGATCCAGCTGATAGCCAGTATAAGCAATTTGGGTGTGTCTGCAGGATACACAAAGCACATTGTTTTCCTATTTGATTCAGCTCTTGCCTTTTTAATGTTGGGAAATCTTTCACCAAAAGTTGGCAAACTCTCACTTTAAGTCCCTTGCACAGCTTCCTTACAGAACTAGAAAAGCTTCAAAACACTGGTGAACAAGAAGTGCAGAGATATTTTGATCAGGCACTTACTCTGAGAAACACAATACTGCTTCTGCGTTTTAATAACGATATAGTCACAGAGCTGCATAGCCAGAACAACCCAATTCTGGTTTCCTTCCGAACCTCTTACACTATGAAAGCCTACTTGATTTGAACCCTGCAACTTGCAGCAGAGTTCTAAACAAAAATTACATGTTTATTTCCTTTGCTCCTCTCACTAATGAATTCGCTCCACCAGTAATAGTACTCCCCAGAATATTAGACCAGTTAAACAGAAGTCACTGCCCAGAAATCAGATCCTCATTTCTTGTACTGTCCAAAGGTACAAAATTTCAAAAAAACAGTCAGATATGTTTCAGGGTTATTACTGAGCATAATAATGTTTTGGAGTCATAGTACTGAAGTAATCTCTACTTCGGATTAGTTTAGATGTTGAATGATGGGATGAGAGAAACCTTTCTATTTGGTAAAACAGAACTACAAGGATAATTTGCTTGTGTCAATATGGGTGTTCATAAGCATTATAATCAAGGGACAAAATGGGCTTACAGGGATTTCTGGGGATATGTCCCCCCTGACTATGCTTCTAGTCAACATGCAGACAGAAAACTTGGTGGTGCTTCTGATCAGAAAGGAGAACCTGATTTAACTTCCTGCTCAGAGCAAGTGAAAGTACAGAATCATTTGAAATGGTCATTGAGGAAGCAACTAAGTGTTCAACAACAAAACAACTCTGGGGTTGCCACAACAGAAGCCAACTGGTTTCCTCTTGAGCTGTTTCTCATTTAGTTCAGAGCTGTTTATCTGTTTAGTTCTGAATTAAATAAGAAAGTTTGTAGGAAAACTGCTAAACACAATCTTTGGAGAAAAGAAAGCCTTTGAAAACGCTTGCCATTCCAGTAGGAAACTCTCTACATGTCCTTAACTTTGTTCACTCATTCTAGGAAGGCGCTTCAACACTGGATATTCACACAGAGGACAGCTTTTTTAGTATGCTTTACCATCTTATGCTAGTCTGGCTTTTGCATGTGAGTGCAAGACCAGCAGTGGACGTGAAATGATTTTTGACTTGACTTAGTTTCAACTTTGCTTATGCTTCTACCAGGGCCATGTACTCAGTGTGTTTTTCTTACCTGTGTGAAGGAAAAAGGGGCTATGTAATAAACCTGACAAGCTCAGTGACCAAAAGTAACCCACAGGATGGTCTGATCACAAATTCCTAACTGGGCAGGTCATAGCAACTTGTCATATCCTTGGCCAATAGCAAAGGTCAATATTTACCTTCAGTGAGCCCTGATCATTTTTCTTATGCATGTAGGATAACATACCATTGAAATGTTAGAGTAAATTTTCTTTTACAGACCCTTGAAGGAACAACTGCTGGCACCAGACCACAAGACCATCAGGGTAGACCACAGAAGCCCTCATTCTGATCTTGTTCCCTGCATATCATTTCTATGTACTGTAAATGTTAATTACTAACTATCCCATACCCACCAATGTAAAATAAGTATGTATTTCTCCATCTTGCTTTTTATCTGACCCTACAGATTTCCCCATTTTCCTTTCTCTCACCTCCTTAATCTACCACCAATGGATTTCGTGAGATCTTGCTTCTGGGCATGTCCTAAAAAAACAGCTCAAAAAAACTCTTATAAAACTTTTATATAAGTTTAGACGGTCTTTCATACACATATCTTATAATTATCCATTCCCATTCCAGCTATAGTCTGTCTCCTGGGCTGACAATCCCTTCTACTTGTGGACAATACAGAAAACACAATCATGGAGCCTGATTGACCAGGTTTTAGGTGACGGCTCACCACTTCCTACCCGTGTGATATTAGGCAGGGGATTTAACCTCCTTGGGATTGTTTCCCCATCTGTAAAAAGGTTAATATCAGCCTCACAGGATTATGTGAAGAGTTCACACTGAACCTGAACATAGTAACTGCATTGACTAAATGTTCATTTCCCCCGATCCTGGGAGGCTGACAAGGATGTAAACAGAGGAAGACAAGGGACAGAGGGTACACAAAAGTAGGAACAGAGAGCCCAAAGGTAAACAGAGACCTATCTCCTTCTACTCCCCAAATGCATGTGCTTGTCCGGGCCACAGGACCCACCTACTGGTTGTTTACGTGTCACCCCCGCAAGACCTCCAGCCGCCAAAGGGCGACTCATGTCCAGTTCATCTCCTAAGTCTCTTTCTCATACTAGGACTGGGCACGCACCAGGCCCAGGCCCTGTTCGCCTTCTCCTTGGGCGCCGGCCCGCTTGCGTCACGGTTGGTGCCCTTGCCCCACCCAGGCAGAAGTACTCGGGGTCCCCAAGGCAAGGAGGGTGGCCAGAGGGACAACGCAGAGAGCCCAGCTGCTCCCAATGGCCGTTGGCGGTGGCGGGCCACCTGCTGCTGCAGCCAGGATTGGTTTCTTTTTCTAACAACGCGGCGTCTTTAACCAATCGCCAGCGAGGCCGGTTGGGAGGCCCCGCCCTGCGGGAGCCCGCGCTCGCTCCAGAGGCCGGCAGGTGGTTTGCAGAGTCCGGGGTCGCGAAGTGGACCCGTGAAAAGGAGTGCACTTATTCCCGAGCATCTGGGCTGTTAGAAAGAGCCATGACAGGGAGGGGTGCGGGCGGAGGCGTGTGTGACCTTGGGCAGCCTTTGCTTCTTTCCAGGCGTCAGTTTTGCACTTCTCTCAATGAGGTTAACCGACTGGGGGGAGAGAGTGTGAGGCGAGCGAAGGTGTGACCTCGTGGAGCGGGCGAGAGACCCAAGGGATTGACGCGGGGATCCGCCCGCACAGAAAAGGCAGTGTTGGAAGGCGCGCAGAGTACCCTAGGCGTGACGGTTCCGGCGGAAAGGCGGTGGCTAGAGGGTCAATTCCCTCTCTCGCAGCCTGGCAGGCCCCGCCCCTCCCCAGCAGGCCCCGCCCCCAGGACCAAAGTCGCGCGGCATCCTGCGCAGACTCCACTGCAAGCCTGGTCGGCCGCGTGTTGGAACAGATCCCTGTCTGCGCTTCCTCCACGCGCCCTCGGACTGAGGACAGACCATCCGCACTCTCGCGTTCTCCCTGCGATCCGGTGAGCCCCGGCCTGTCCCAGCCCTGCCCCCGCTACCCGGCCGCGCGGAGACGCGCGCTTCCCTCTCTTTAATTTCCCTTTTGTCCTCCCAACCTATTTTGTATTTTTCTTCTCTGTCCGTCCTTTGTCTCTCTTTCACCATTTTCCTTATTCGCTGTGTTCTTTACTTCTCCTGTTCAATTGGCTGTAATTTAAACTTTCGCCCATCCACCCCTTTCCTTGCTGGGATGTGGTCTTTTAAGGTGGATTTCCCTTTCTAAACTTTCCTTCTTTGCCATTATCCACAGGACACATAGTATGACCTTTAGGTTTTTCGTCTCCCAGCCATTTTCTATGGAAAACCAACAGGATCGGGCCCTAATAGCCACTGGCAGCTTTGAAGAATGGGATGCCTTTAGAGAAGCTTGATCTTGGAGGCCTCAGTGTGAGACCTTACAAAGCCAGGTAAGAGTACAGTCTAAGGGAGGGGTCTCCTACTGCCTTCTAACTCTGCGGTGTGTATGGGGTGGAGAGGGCAGCAGCACATTAACAGAAATAACTACCACCACCACCCCAGTGAAGTCACTCTGTTCAGAGTTCACGGAGCACTTTCATATATCCCTAGTCTCATTCTGGTCCTTAAGCTGACCCTGGCAAGCCAAGGATGGTGGTCCCCATTTTACAAAGGAGGAAATTGAGGCCCAGGCGGGAGAGTGATTGGTCCTGGGTCACCCAGAGTATCAGTAGCAGAGCTAGAGCAGAAACCTATAGTCACTACATACTGTTGACTCCAGCTTCGACTGCCCCTGAAACAGATTAGTAATCAAGTGTACTTTTTGGACACTGAAACTGGTTATTTTCTGGGGATTGTAAAATATGATTAACTTTTTCTAGGCCTGAGTTTTGCTTACTCTTCTTAATAGGATCTTTAGCACAGGAGAACTTTGCCCCCATACGCACGCCTCTGAAGGACCTGACTTGTCGCAAACTCAAGGCAACATTTAAAATGGCAACTGAGCCTCTATGTTCTTGTCTTTGAGGTGGGCAGAGGCTGGGTCTTACTCTTCTCTGGTATTCACAACACCCTGCAACTCAGCTCAAGGTCAGGACATAACTGGCCCATGTCTCTGAGACCCAGAGAAGGGGCGCCATTTTAAGCTTTCTCTGAGCTGTCATACTGGCATGAGAGAACTTGGCTGTGGGATTTCCTCATGAAAGGCCCTGCCTGTGCCTGGGGCTGAGAAAACAGCAGGAAACGAATGAAATGGGCACCAGGACAAAGCAAATAGCATAAGCTTTGGAGCCTGTAGACGTGGCTCTTACTAAGGTCCGTCATCTGTAACATGGAAGTAAGGGCAGCCACCTCACAGAACTGCTCTGAGTAGTAAGTGAGCTAACAGAGTACCCCAGGCAGTGGGTTGGGGAGAGGTGTGCAGTACCTCCTGGAGGATGGAGATGTCAGAGCAGGGAAACTGGGGAGTCTGGAGCACCTTCAACCCATTCTGCTGCTTGAGTGCCAGTCTTCACTGAGCCTCCTGTGGGTTAGGCTCCAGGGAGACATGAATAAGCCCAGGCCCTGCCCTATAGAAGCTCCTGATGTAACTGAGTAGTGAGTAGGCTCTGGATATCTCTGTTTGCCCCAGCCACCTGGGGTAAGAAGCTGGGTGAGCTGTTTGTTTCCATCAGTCTTGGCGTTCACAACTGACTCCCACTATATTCTGCCTCTGCCTGCCAACTCTTCCCAGCTCTTTCCTCCTGTCCCCAGTGACATGGGCAGCCAATCAGGCTGATCTCAGAGCAGCTGTTCCAATGAAATCAAAGAAATGAGCTCAGGGGAGAGAGAAGCAGATAGTCCTCCCCCACTGGGGTGCTGGGCTCACTTCCTCCTGAGGCAGCGGGGGAGGGGAGGGTGTTGTTCCAACTCAGAACAAAATGGAGCTTTTGGTTTCCTGTGTCGCTTTTCATATCACTGACCTGCATCTCCCCACCCCCGCCTCTCTTGTGGTGAAGATATGGGCCCCCCCTATGTTCAAGGAGAGAAACTGGCCAGAGGAGACAGTTTTCCCTGAATCACACAATAGGCCAGGGAAGGAAAGTCAATCACCTAGGCACTGCTCTCAACCCCAAGAATTGCCCAGTGTCTACCAAAGTCCAGCTGAATGTTACCTTTTCTAAGTCTTTTCTGATTGCCTACTCTTCCTTACCTCTCTCCTGATGAAGTTAGTTGTTCCATCCTCTGCACTTTGAGAGTATGTCCTGCAAGCCCCAGTGCAGCTTGAATCACCTGCCCACTCCCTGTGCCAGACAATAAGACCCCCACCTCCCAGGGTAGATATTGTCTCTTGCACCTCAGTGAACCAGGACCCTGCAAAGCAGGCTTGTTGAAAGAATGATTGTAGAGAGCCCACGCGGGTTGGCAGCTGGGCAAGAACTGAACTGGGCTTGTCTATTCCTGTTCTCACAGACTTAGGCAATTCTAGACCCATAGGAACCTCTCCCGCTTAAGAAATCCGGGGCGTAGACCTATAGGTTTGTACCTATCAGGTGTTGGTCTGGCTTCTAGACAGATCCGCAGAAGCAGGAATTTTTTTTTAAATCTGTACACCCAGCAGACAGGGCTGGGCCAGGGTCTTTTTTTGAGGTAGCACTAGGATAGCTGTGATCCATACTGCCCCTATAGTGAAAGGGTGGGGAGCTCTTCACAAAATATGGACTCTTTCAACAGGACTTGCTTCTCCAGCCCCTATCTGAGTACCTCTGGAACTCCTGTTTTCCCCCATGGGGTTGCTTTGGTCCTTGCTTAGAGAGGTGGTACTGGCAGGGAAGGTAGCAGTGAGGGTAGTGAGCAGGGAGGGCCTGGGACTACTGCTGATGATGGGATTTCTCTCTTGGCTCAGCTTCCGGCAGAGTTCCTCTATTTCGTCTTGTTGCTGATTGAAGGTGCCCCCTTTTCCAATTTTTCTCCATCTCCTGGGAGGTAGCAGGAAATCAGCATCATGGTTGGGTTCAAGGCCACAGATGTGCCCCCTACTGCCACTGTGAAGTTCCTGGGGGCTGGCACAGCTGCCTGCATTGCAGATCTCATCACCTTTCCCCTGGATACTGCTAAAGTCCGGCTACAGGTGAGGGGATGAAGCCTGGGGATCCTAGTGTTGTCACTTCTGCTCCCTCCCCAAGATGCAAACTCCTTGAAGGCCTATGGGGTGTTTGGGACTGTAAACTTTGGAGCACAGGGCTGATGGAAGATAGGGAGGGCAACAAGTTTATCCCTATGCCTGTCTCGGTCTTCCAGATCCAAGGAGAAAGGCAGGGGCCAATGCAGGCTGCAGCCAGTGTCAAGTACCGCGGTGTGCTGGGCACCATCTTGACCATGGTGCGCACCGAGGGTCCCCGCAGCCTCTACAATGGCTTGGTCGCCGGCTTACAGCGCCAGATGAGCTTCGCTTCTGTTCGCATCGGCCTCTATGACTCAGTCAAGCAGTTCTACACCAAGGGCTCTGAGCGTGAGTGTGGAGATAGGCCATAGGCTTCTTGGCCTTTTCTTCTCAGTGACAGTTGCTCTTAGTTAATTTCACTGCATAGCTCCTTTAGGCCCCAAGATCCCTAGGAGGATCAGAGGAATGGAAAACTGGAAGGGCCCTGATTCTCCTAACGATTCCTGAGCACTTGGGCTGTGCCTGGCTCTGAGCAGGGCATCCTCGCATGACAGTCCGTACAACCACCTTAAGAGTAGGTGGTATCACCCACCAGTTACAGATGAGGAGATTGAGGCTTGCCAGAAAGGACTTGGCCAACGGAAGAGTAGGTGGTATCACCCACCAGTTACAGATGAGATTGAGGCTTGCCAGAAAGGACTTGGCCAAGGCCAACAGTGGGAAGCCAGAAAATACACCGAGGACTTAACTTCCAAGGCCAGCACTCTTCCATTTTATTTCCTCAGCATGCCACACCCACCCTCTATTTTACATATGTGGAAACTCAGAACCCGGATCAAAAGGTTGACTTTTCCCAAGATCACGTGTCAGGAAGTGGATCTAGGATGAGAACCCAAGTCTTATGTGTCCCAGCCCTTGGGAAAGCCACTTGGTTTTTACATTCGTCAAATGGAAATGATTCTGATTTCTTAGGGCTGTTGAGCAGGTTAAGTGAAGTAAATGAAAATACCTAATGTAAGAAGCGCTAAGTCTCATTTTGTCCTACTCCTTGCTGTGTCCCAGTGCCTAGCAAGTAGTAGACAGAGTAAAATTTTGTTTGATGCGAAGAGTCTTAGAGCAAGAGCTGGTCTGGATCCTCTTCCCAAAAGGCAAGAGATTACAGTCACATGGTGTATTTGGTGAGGAGAGGCAGAAAATGAGTGGAAGCTCAACTGGCCAGACCCTCATGGTTCTCTCACAGATGCTGGCATCGGGAGCCGTCTCCTGGCAGGTAGCACCACAGGTGCCTTGGCTGTTGCTGTGGCCCAGCCCACGGATGTGGTGAAGGTTCGGTTCCAGGCTCAGGCCCGGGCTGGAGGTAGCCAGAGATACCAAAGCACTGTTGATGCCTACAAGACCATTGCCCGAAAGGAAGGGTTCCGGGGACTCTGGAAAGGTGTGTACCAGGTGTTTCTTCTTCCCCTTCCACCTCCCCTATTTCCTGGTCTCACATAGGCACCCCTTCCTTCTGTAGGGACTGCTCCCAATATTGCTCGTAATGCTATTGTCAACTGTGCTGAGCTGGTGACCTACGACCTCATCAAGGATGCCCTCCTGAAGGCCAACCTCATGACGGGTGAGTGAGGGTAAATGGTGCTGGGTCTTGCCCTGACCCCAGCCCAGGATTGGGGGTGGGAATCTGGTTGCCTGAAGACCATGTCTTTTCATCCTGTTTCCCCTCCGTTTGTGGAGTGAGTTTCTCTCTCTCACTTTCCAACTGGGATGAAGCTTCCACTTTGCACACTGAGGCGAAGTGGGCAAAATGACTCTTAGGTCCTCAGGAGAGGTCCCAGCTGGAGTCTCTGTCTCTCTAACCTCAGGAGAGGTCCCAGCTGGAGTCTCTGTCTCTCTAAAATCACAAGATCCCAGTGACTTAATCTCTCTGCTTCTGGAGTGATGGCATGAGGAGTCCTGACCTCTCTAACCTGCTCTTCCTCCTTGGCAGATGACCTTCCTTGCCACTTCACTTCTGCCTTCGGGGCAGGCTTCTGCACCACCATCATTGCCTCCCCTGTCGACGTGGTCAAGACGAGATATATGAACTCTGCCCCTAGCCAGTACAGCAGCGCTGGCCATTGTGCCCTCACCATGCTCCAGAAGGAGGGTCCCCGAGCCTTCTACAAAGGGTGAGCCTCTGATCCACCCCACCCAATTCCAGGCCTCCTATCACACAGGTGGGAGAGGACCACCGGAACTGAGTAAAAATCAAGTGTCAAACTATTTCTAATCATGGTCCTAGTATTTCACCAGCATTCTCTCATGCTCTTAACTCCTTCCTCCCCGCAAGGTGCTACCTACTCTATGGGTGTTAAAATGGAGACTCACAGGGGATTCTTGCTCACAGCCACATAGCTGTGAGGCTGTGGTCCCTGGGCCCTCCTAGCCTCCTTTGGGACAGAGCAAGTGGGTTAGATTGGATGCCAGGGCCCAGCAGGGTAAGCAGGAGGTGGAGGTGCCCCCTGTGACCTGTGTTTTCTCTCTTCTAGGTTCATGCCGTCCTTCCTCCGGTTGGGTTCCTGGAACGTGGTGATGTTTGTCACCTATGAGCAACTGAAACGGGCCCTCACGGCTGCCTGCACTTCCCGGGAGGCTCCCTTTTGAGCCTCCCCTGCTGCCTCCTCTGGCTTGGCTTTGGCTAGAGCCAGGCCCTGCTTCCCTTTTCCTCATTTTCTCTCCCTACCCGCTTCTTTCCACTCGCATTCCCACCCCCTCCCTTCTCCCCACATCCTCATCCCTCCTCCATACCTCATGTCCCCATTGCCTCTCAGTCCTGGTGGAGTTGACCCCAGTTGACTCTGTGGCCTGTCACCAACCAGGATCACATGCCTTCAGTCCCTTGAAAAGTTCAGCCCAATTCTTCATCTTGTCCCCAAACCCAGTCCAACTGGTACGTTACCCATAAAACAAGCTCAACCGTGGTGTCTCCTCCCTCTCTCATAGCTGTTACTAGAGTTCTTAGTCTAATGGGCCCTTTTACTACCTGGTGGGCAGAGGAAGAGCCACCTGACTTAGAAAGGGGCTTATGACCCACCTTCTCCACCTCCATTGTCCACTCTGGGACCCATGGAGGTCATCTAGTCCATTTCTCTTTCCAAACCAGGCCCAAGGCTAAGGTGACAAGTAAAGGAACATCCCAGAGTCACAACAATGGCTTTGTTCTCACCAGGCCACTTGGGCTTTTACTCACACAGTGCCTGGTACTCCACCTGCCTTTCCAACCCCCGAGCCGGCCCCAGGCCAGTTTATCTGCAAAATGAGAGTGTTCCTGTCGGCCCTGCATCACCTATGCTTCTTGGAAGATTGAGAGGAACTTGGGAATCTTAGATGCTGTGGGCTTATTTTATTTTACAAATGAGAAACCTACCTCTCCCCAAAGTTCGAGACCTACTGAGGGCAAATCTGGCTGCCTTCCATTCTCCAGAGTCCCAGCCTTAGGTAATGTTGCTCCCCTGGGAGGGTAAGCTGCAGGGCAAACATCTGACCTTGGCCTAAGGGTACTTTACAGGTATAGTCTCGCCCTCTCCCAGGGCTAGTGATCCCAGGGAGGTGGTGACAAGCCAAGATTTAGGCTGTACAGGTGTGTCAGCCTCGCTGACCCTTTTCCTACCACCTATCCTCAGACAGGAAGGCAGGTCCCCAACTTCTGTTTCAAGAGGTTGGGGACTCTGAGGTCCCAGAATCCTGAGATACCTTGTTCAGGGCTAGGCCCTTAGAATTAATCCAGGCCCATTTTATAGATGTCTAAAGAAGCTGGGGGCTGAGACAGGTCATACAAGCAAGGACACAGGATGTCAGCATCTGATCAGGGACTGGACCTCCCTCTCCCCGACTCTACCATGTACTTCTCCCAGGGACTAGTGTTGGGGTCCTTTGGGAATCCTGTTGGGCAGTGGGGCTGAGAACATAACCTCCCTCTCTTACATCCTAAAGCAGCCGATGCCACTGCTCCTTCCCCATTGGTCAGAGCTGGAGACTAGGCCCTTCAGTGCCTGGGCAAGGGGTCCAGAATATTAGACGTGTTCTTGGAGAAACAAAGAGGGCCCAGTTTCTGACAAGTTGAGCTGACATATAGCCTCCACCATGAGTCAAGCCAGAGTGAAAGTGGCAGGCAGCTCTTCCAGGCTGTTCTCTGCTGGGCTGCAGGGAGTCGATGTAAATGGAAGACCCAGTTACTGTGCCATATGTGCCTTAATTCCACATTAATCCTGTGAGGCAGGCTATTTATTATTTTGCACCAGAGGAAACAGGGGCAATTTGTTGCTCTAGGCATGGTAGCCGATTCATTTGCCATCCTGTGTCCCAAACACTGGGATGAACATGAGTCCACCAGATTTCCTAGTTCTGGGCACGATCCTGGAACAGCGAGCTGGGAAAGGTGCTAGGGATCTCTGGACACCCTAACTAGCCTTAGTAACTGTTCTGTCCTTAATGACTATAAAGTGGGCATATGATAAGCCCTGCTTTGCCTGACAAGGTAGCCCTGAAGATCACTGCGGTAATAGAAATTTCATAAAAGTCTTAAGATTCTCACCATGAGAAAGAGGGGCAGGCTTCCTGCTGGCCCAGGGGGAACCTAGAGTGCTGAGTTTCACAACGCAGGCCCCATACTCCCTCACCCAGTTGCTGCTCAAAACGGTAGCTACCACCACCCATCGCCACCTAGGTCCAGTCTCAGAGGACACAGCTTTACTCACCCATTTTGCACAAGGCCTGCAAGATAGGGGTTGTACTCTACAAATCAGGTGAAGGGATTTGCCTGAGGGCACACAGCTGGTAAGTAGCACACTCCAAGGCCCCCCTCCTTAATGACTACAGAGGTGCTCCCTAGGCCCCTAGTCCAGATACTACATCTCAGGCTGCTGTTACTGCTGATAGTACTGCATTCTCTGTTGGATTACAAATGCCTGACTAGTATGACTGAGCTCCCATTGATGAAAAATTCCTTAGGCTATTATGGTAGTTTAAATGGTGGAATCTAAGCACGTGGGTAACATGGAGACTTTCTGGCACCTCTGAAGTCTTAACAAAAGTAGCTACCTATTCTGTCATAAGATTGGACCTATCCTATCCCAAATCCAGACTCAGGAGTCTCTCTTGGCACAGAAGAGGTGTACACCATGATGTTGACTGATGGAAAGTAGACTGGGGAGGCAGGTGCATTCTGTACAGGCTCAGCTGGGCCTGGATGCTGGGACTCCAGCAGGTCACATCAGTAGCGATGCCGTAACCTTGAAATCTAAGCCAGTTCACCAAGCACTTTCACACCAATGACTCAGTCCTCACAAGCAGCACGAGGGGGGTTATGAACTCTGTTTTACCAACAAGACAGGCAGTAACATCCAAGGGCTCAGTGGCAAGGCTGGGAGCAGAACTTGGGTCTGCTTCCCAGACCACACTACTTAGGGACAGCCCAATACCCACCACACAGACAAGGGAGCTGAAGCTGGCTAGGCAGAAACCAAAGCCATTTCCAGCACTTGTGTCCTTTGTGCTGCCTTTCTAAGCAGGGTGGGTCTATGGTTCTGATGATAGCTTAGCCACTGGGCCCTGTGTGACCTGAGACAAGTGTTTTGTATTTCAGTTTTCCTGAGTACAATGTGACCATATCATACTGTAGAGACTGCCCCTTTCTAGAGATCGTGTGTCATGAGAATCAGCAGAGCTGGGGACCCTCAGTCTACACAGTGCTGCCCACACTATCCAGGTGCGAGGTACAGAGTCTCTGAACCCTTAGGGACCTAGCCATGCCCACAAAGCCAGGACAGGGACCCAAGTCCTTGGTTTCCCTCTGCTCCACAAGAAGGGCTATATGAAGCTCCTCTTCCAACACACACTCTCCTGGGTGTAGCTGGAGGATAGGAAATAAATCTTTATTGTGTCGGTTTAAAAGTCCTGTGCCGTCCACATGTCACGTCTGTGCAGCGAGCTGGTTCCCCTGAACACCCGAGGCAGGAGTGCAGTAAGGCCCAGCTAGCCTTCTCCTCCCCCAACCCCAGCCCCGAGCCCACCACTTATGTCAGCAGAGCCTGGCGCAGCATCTGCTTCTTCTGGGGTGTGAGGTGAGTGGGGAACTGGATGTCAAAGAAGATGAAGAGGTCCCCCTTCTTGGTGGGGTCCTCAGGCAACGGCATCCCCTCACCTGGCACCTTCTTGAAATACTTGGGACTGAAACAGGAGAGGATAAGAAAAGGGAGCTTAGAGGGCACCCCAGAGCAGCACCTCGACAGATCCCATGCCACCCTGCTCACATCACCTCAGGCACAGAGCATTCACTACAACTTCTACCATGGATGGCTTTTCTCAGCCAGAACTGGGTGGGAGGAGAGAGTAGACTTGCTTACTACCGGCAGCTTGCTCCCTGAAAACCCATTGACACTGATCTCTGGTGGAGGACTCCAGAAATCTCCTTTTAGATATGGGAAACAGGGCGAGGAGGGAAGGTAAGTGAGCAGACCCTGGGTTCGGGTGGGGAGTGCTGGGCTGCTGAGCAAAGCTTCCCATGCAGAGGGCCTTTCTTGGTAAAGGGGTGAGTGGAATCAACTCAGAACTCTAATGAGAGGTTTTGGAGGATGGGAGATGAAGGCAATAAGAACTGCCCAACATTGGGGACCTCTAGCCTCTACGGTGGCTTCGTGCAAGTTAGAAAATGGCACTACATTTGCCAGGTGGATGCAATCCACAGCTCAGGCAGAGTGGGGACTGGATTTCAGTCCTCTCTCGCCCCCTTGTGCTGGGTGCGATACAACCTGCACAACTGTACTAGGCCAACCTGTCTGATACACCCTCTAAGGCCCAGGCCAGCCCTTCTGCCTATTAGGTCCCAAGCAGATAGACTCACTGGACGATGTCATTGATGGGGATGTTGAGAAGCCGGTCATCTAGGGTCTTCACCTCCACGGTGCAGCAGGTCAGAGCCTAGGAGACATTAAGGCCAAAGGCGGGAGTGGGGAAGGTCCCCATGGCCATTCTGTTTAGAAGGCATTTTATGATCCTCTTCAGTGCCAGGCCCTAAGCTGGGCCTCAGGAGACAAAAGGATGGTCAAGGACTAACAGGTGAGTGAGCCAGGCAATTACCTGCCCTCAGGAGTTCACGATCTGGTGGGTAAGACTGACATTGACATGTGTTCTGATAGAGGGAAGTAAAGGAGAGCCAAGGAAAGGCCCCCAAGCTGTTCCGAGGTGGGACGGGAGGGCTGGCTATACAATGCTGGTAGTAGTTGATGAAGGCCTTAAAGGTTGAGGGGAGCTTAACAGTTAGACAAGGTTGGTAGACAGCACTCTAGGCAGAGGACCCAGCATAAAAAAGAGAACGGAAGTGTGAAATGTACCAAATGGACAGGAGTTCCAAGTGGTGCAGTGACTGGAGGGCAGGGGATGAAATCAGCAGGGTCCAGATTACAGAGGGCCTCGAATGCCATGCAAAGATGTTTTATACAGGAGTGTGGCATGGGCAGATGAGTGTATGGAAAGGCCCCTGTCGACAAGAGCCTGGAGGAGAGGAGCAGAGAAGCAGGAGGACCACTGAGGAGGCAGCTGCACAAGTCCAAATGCTCGAACATGGATGGCTGGGATGAACAGAAGTGGACCGAGTGAAGAGAGATTTGAAGGTGGAATTGACAGGATTTAGTGACCAACTGCAGGTGGGGTCGGGGAGGAGAGTCAAAGTCTAGGCTGGTGCCCAGTTTCTTGCTTAGATTATGAGGGTGTGGAGGGGCCACTCATACTCAGGGAGAAGAGAGAATCTTTGTGGCACTCATCACATTCTGAAGGCCTGTGCCATGCACTGGGGTGAGTGGAGAGTGAGATGCTGCTTGCCTTAGGGCCTCCCATGGGGTGGGCGGAGGCAGGGGGGGAAGGGCAGGAGGACGGGAGTGGGGGAGGGCGGGGCTCACTCTACTCTGCTCACTCCCTGCTCTTCCATTTTGGCCACTCACCTTGCCCAAGGGGATGGGCTTCACATAAAAGAGGTTGTCGTTCTCCCTGCGGAAGTGAGGGTGTAGCTTCTCCTTTACGATGAAGATGATGTCGGCTGGGATAATGTTAGGGCCCTGGGCAAGGGAGGCCAAGGGGTGACAAAGGCTAATTGGCTGTGTGACATCAACCAAGTTCCTGCCTTGACTGGTCTCCATGTCTTCATTTGAACAATGAGATCAGACCAGGTTTTCTGGAAAGGCCTTTTCCATTTGACTCCATAGCCCCTCCTCTGAGAAGACTACCCAGATGAATCCTGCACTCCACCGCCCAACCCAGTACTTCTCCTCTACTGAACATGCCCAAATAGAAGTTCTCAGCTGGAGGGGGACTGAGACTTCCTTAGATGGTGGGTAGAACACTGAGCTGGGTATTCTGCAAAGTCTCTGTCCTGCCAAGCTTCACCAAATCACCAAAACACTGCTGAGGTCTCTTGTGGGCACTAGGACAGAAGAATCAGACTGGCCCCATCCCCCAAGGAGCTCCCAGGCTAGAAGGGTGAACAGACACACAGTGAATCCTCAAGACTGCGATAAAGGGAATCCAGAGGCAGGAGCTCAGAGGTCAGGGAAGGCTGCTCTAAGGGGCAGCATTGGAGCTGGGTCTTGAAGGGTTTTGTTTTGTTTTGTTTGAAATAGATGTTTTCTGTGTGGGAAAAGAAGCAAGAATTATCGGCAGAGAAATTAATTTCCCTCAGCTCTGAGGACACCATCACTGCCTTGGACAATAATTTTATATTTTTATTTAAATAAGTATTTAAAATTATTAATAAGTGGTTTCTGAGTAGATCCTATGGTTGGACTTCACTTAGAGAAACACTGAAGAAAATCATGTCCTGGAGTTAAGATTGGATTCTCCATCCAGCTCTTGTGCTCTTGCCTTGGGCAAGGCCATCCCCTCTCTAGGCCTCGGTTCCCCACTCTGCAAAATGGGGAGAACACCTGGGCTGCCCACTCACAGAGGCGACGTGAGACTCTGTCCCTTGGAAGGGACATTAGGAATCATCTCATCCACTCTGCAGACTGGTCTCCCTGCCAGACTAGGGCTCACAGGGGCAGGAAAAAGCATTGCCTCCTTCCTCTCCGTCTTCCCACCACATGACCCCGGGTAACTGATCCTAGGACTGACATTATTCAGCTTCCCTCCCTCTCACCTGGTCCCCTTCCTTCTCAAAGGTGATCCGTGTGCCCTGCCTCCAACCAGGCTTCACATCAATTGTGAGGATCTTGTCCTTAATGGTAGAGGAGTACCCATCCTCGTTCATCACCTGCAGCAGGGTGGCGGGTAGGAGATGCGGGAGGCTTGCAGAGGATTTCCCAGCATGAAGAAGCACCAAGGGATCTGTCCTTGGGCTCAATCCCCTAGCAGTGGGGAGTACTGACCACTTCCCTGACCACTCCCGCTCCATCCCACCAGAACCGAGAACTTAGGATTCCAGGAAAGCAGGACAAGTTTGGGTGCTGGAGCCTAAGATGCTGAGCGTTCACCATCAGTGCATCAAGCTCACAACTCCAGCCCTAGAAATCACGTGGCCCTGGCCACAAACAAACGCACAGTGAACATGTACTCAGCTCTTCTCTCCCATCCCAGAGGCTCTGGCAGGTCTCTTAATCCAGAAGGGAGGAAGACACGAAGGTCAACACAACTGAGCCTCACCTGAAGCATTTTCCTATTATGTCACCCATCCATTCCCCAGTCACATGCCCAGATGTGTGCCATCTGTGGAAAGTATGACCACGGTTGGCATCTCCTCTGCAGGGCAAAGGTTTGAGGGGGGGTTTGTTCATGTGCTAGCATAAGACTGGGCCGTGGGACTGAGAGTCTTCCTCAACCAGTCCCCTCAGGGGCTGTCTCCCAGCCACCTTCCATTTCCACACTGCCTCTTCTTACTCCTGGGGCATACACCCTGGTGAAGTCCCGGAGGTGTCATCTGGTAACTCCCAGAGGGCAGAATTCACTGGAGAATTTAGAGCCTTCCCACTTCCCAAAGGGATGTGGCTAAATTGAGAAGGAAAAGATCCTGCCCAGTTAGAAAGGTTGCAGAGGAAATTCCTGCACTAGGAAGGAACCGGGCTAATGACCCCAGTTGTTGCTTCCAAACTTCAGATTCTAGAATTCTGCAGTTCTAGGTCTCCGAATCTAAGATTGCATGATTCCATCAGAGACTATACCTGAGGTCTCTAATTAGAGTCAAGGACGGGTGACTAATATGGTTGGAAGGGACAGGTGGTGGCTCCCAGCAGAAGCAAACCAAGTACTCACCCTGCGGGAGATCTTGATTTTCTTGGTGCAGCCGAAATATAAGTCCTCCAGGGACAGGTAGAGGTCTCGTTCGATTGGGGGATCCTGTTTCCTGACCCCTCGGCCCCGAAGTCCTCCAAAGTTCAAATCCACCTCATTTCCCTTTTCATCAAAAAACTCTGTGGGAGATTGGGAGAGGAGTGGAGTAAGAGAAATTATGTCTAGAGACTTGGATTAATAGACGCTCCACACCCCACCACACATTGACCCCTCAGTCTTCAAGCACTATACCCAGCATCCCATTCCCACCTTGAAGACTCAGACTATTCAGTCAGGCCAAGAAGGTTCATCTCTTGCCATTCCCCATTGTTTCATCTCCCACTTTGAACACTGCCTACCCCCCACCCCCCAACACACACACACTTTCCTGACTTCCCCCACAACTTGGTGAAGTACCGCTCCACCTGGCTGTCTCAGGAGAGGGGTGCCCTCTGGAGGCAGTACTTGGTAGTGCCAAAATTGACTCAAGCGGTTCGCTTTTGGAGAGGAGGATTCTAGTGTGCTAATCCTCCCTACCCTTTCCCAGGCTCCAGTTCCCCTCGCTGTCTAGCCCTGCCCAAGACCACTAGAGATCCCAAACTCAAGTTTCTATAAAGTCAGCAACTGATGTAGGGGCGGGGCAGGGTTGGTCCCTAACAAATTTGAGAGGTCACCAGCATATCCCCAACTCCTCTTTCCTCAACTTCTTTTGCCCCTGCCGAGCTCTATACTCATAACCCCTCTTGCTGCCCTGTCCTTCCATCCAAGTGCAGAGAGAGAGCCCCTGACCTTTGATGTGCTGTGAAATCTTTTGGGCTTCAGTTTCTCCATCTGTGAGATGGAGTAATAGTGCCTGACCTTTCTTCTACCATTAGGATTAGATAACAAGATGATGAAAAAGAAGAGCTAAAGCTTGCTGAGAGCTTACTATGTGGCAGGTGCTGTTTTCATTACGTTATTACGTTATTAGTTCATTACGTTATTATCTCATTGGTTCAGAAGCCAAACAAAACTCTCACAGTCCCTCAGCTAGTAAGTAGTAGAGTTGGAATCTGAACCCAGGATGATTTGACTACATAATCTGTGCCCCTAACTACTACATTATACTGCTAGATGTGAAATCCTTTGTAAACTGTAGAGTGAGTAGCTGCTATCATAAGATTTCCTGTACTCTGCCTCTCGTGGTTAGTGCCATGGAATGAACTTCACAGAATGGAGCAATGACCTTAGGCTAGGGAGGGCCAGGTGACATCATGCTATGTCCCCTTAAGATGTGATGGGTAATCAAGGGGCCTGTGAATTGCCTGTCCCCTCAGCATTGCCAAATTTATTTGTTTACCCAGCATCCATGGTGTGCCATGTCTTAGACACCCCAATAGCCAGGTCACAGGAAGCCCCGCCCCTTGACTCTGCAGGGAGATGGGACACAAGGACCCCTAAGGTAAATCACTGTAGTAGTATAGCACAACCTGAGAGACCCCCAAACCCTGAGCTTGACCTTCCCTAAAGAGCGATGCCCCAATACACCTTGGTTTGGCTCCTCTGAGCTGCATTTTTTTCATG